TTTGGTTTTTTTTTTTTTTTTTTTTTTTTTTTTTTTGTACCAGGGATCAAATTTAGGATCTTGCACTTGTGAGGTAGGTGGCAATACCACTAAGCTAAATCCATAGCCCAGGGTCTAGTCATATTCTTGAGGGGAAGACACTCATTTACTTATTTTTAAGAAAAAAATGAATTTCATAGCCACTAATGGAAGCTATTCCTAATATTTAACTATATCAGAAATTGAAAGCCAATTCATAATATAAACCCCAACATTAGCAGAAAATCAATGCTATTTATGGGAGGTAGGAACAGAAAAAAGGTTAAAAAGACAATAGGCAAATGGAAATTCTGGTGGTGGTGGTATACCGAGTTTTCCATGAGTTCTCTTGTAAGATTATACTCTATCAATAGTTCTATGACAATAATTTCTAGTGCCAGGAAAAGAAGCCAACACAGGTTCCTCCATTAAAGCTGCTGTAGCCATTATAACTTTCCAAATGAAAATGATGCATATGTTTTTATAGCAATATCTAAATGTTATTCAATAATATATATTTTTAATTTCACTATTACTGTTTGCCATAAACAGGAATGATGAGCATGTCTGCTTCAGAATGATTCTGAACTGATTTTTTTTCAAGCAGTAAAATGGTCCTAAGAAATGCTACAGAAAATCAATGAAGTTGAGGCTAAAAAAGGTAGTCAGAAGTGGTGGCACACACCTGTAATCCCAGCACTCATGAGACTAAAGCAAGAGAATCGCCACAAGTTTGAGGCCTGCCTGGACTACATAGTGAGCTCAAGGCCAGCCTGAACTACACAGTGAGACACTGTCTCAAAAAACCAAAACGAAAAAAATAAAAAGTTAGCTAAGAAAAATAACTGGAAACACAATTCACAGTATTTGGAAGAACTCAAGGTTAAAAAGTCATACATACATAAAATCTTTTGAGATAGCATTTATTGAGGAAAAACAAAATGAGCATTTGGTAAAGAAATTTATGGACTGCGATGAGTGCCAAAACAAAGCTGTGGCAATGTTATTCAGATAAGCTAGTCAGTTCCATGTAATTTCAACAAACTTGGAAACCCCAACCTTCAACTGACATACCTCTAGACTAGAGTTGGATAGCAAAGTCAGTTTAACATTAAGACAAATCGCATGGAGATATAAGCCACAGCCAAAAGACTGGAAAACAAAAATCTTTGCATTAGAGAGTCCAAAAACTTACAAGTATGATCGTACACAGACTTCCATGATATCCCTCCAACAACTACAGACTTTCTCTGAGGGAAGTCAGCACATCAAAAAGGACTAGTTAAAACTTGGTGAAAATTCAGGCAAGAATTACTACAAAGGGATGAGATTGTGGATGAACAAAGTTTTTTGTTTTTTGGTTTTTTTTCAGAAAATAGGTGTTAGGAAAGGGCATATTCTGAATAGCTACATAAGTTTGTTTACACTGTTACATACTGTAATGATCCTTCCCATAGAAATTACTTCAAACTGTAATTTTCAACTGTTATACAACACTCAACCAGCTAAGGACTTCACAAAACTTTAACTCACGAAATAATCAAATGATCCACAATTACCCAATGAAGTCCATGCCATGTTAAGAACAATTACTGGGTAATTTCTCTCTGTAATTACCATGAAACTGAGTAAAACTTTTTGACCCATTAAGCATTGTTCTTACTCTCCCACTAGGCTTTGTAAGTTTGTAGTTGTTGGTTAGATTTTAAAATCCTTTTTTATTATGTGAAACTCAAGATGGAGCTCTACATAGCACTTTTAAGGCAGGTGTGAAAAGACCCACTGGAATGAAAAGCTGCCAACCATTTATATACAATATATATATATATTTCACTCAAGAGTGCATTTTATAAGCTTAAACAAATCACTAAGCCCTAAATCTGACTGGCCTTTCTAGGACAAACCAATAACTTAAGTTTCTCAAGTTTCCTATTAGTTTTTATTTATTAGACATGGACAGGTCAGTTTTAGTATAAATGAAAAACTGTATCTTAAAAAGATGACCTTGGTAAAGGTTAATGTTGTCTTGTCAGCTTTAGCACAGAGGTAGAGCTACCCAACTCTGACTTCCTTTACCTGAATAAGACAGTGATTTACTCTGAATTAATTAAGCTGGTCATGCAAGGTCTCTTGCCATTTCAAAAAATAAAATGCAAATTCATTAGAGAGATGAATTGCAAATCAAATCATTTCTCATGAAATACAAGCACTGAAAATAGTATTTGGGAGCTAGTTTATTTCTGGTTGAAAATAATATATTCCATTAGGGAAAAAGGCTAAAGCTATGGATAAACTAAGCAAATTGTACCCCACTAATTGATGTGTCTAAAGCATCATCCAGGTTTTTCAATTTGGGACTAAGCCAGAATGAACAAATTTTTAAGTAGTAAAGGACATATACAGTGGAACCCTGGTTGACAAATTTAATTTGTTTTATGATTTTGGGGATTTGAATTTGTGCGGGGAAGATGACCATAGTCATGTTTGTCACCCAAAGTGAAGTTTGCAAATGGAAGCACAATTTTGCCTAATGCTTTTGTTTGCAAAGGGAATTGTTTGCAAACAGAGGAGTTCATGAATGGACGTGTTATTATATTTAGCTACCTAACCACCAATATACTGCTAGAATTCTTGGAATATATATAGCTTCTCACTAAAAACTTCTCACTAAACAAGTTTCAACGAAGGGCTCTGATGTGAAATACGAGCAATGTGTCAGTCTTGGCTATGAATGCAGGCAGCCCAACGTTCTCTGCAGTCAATCCTGGCAGTGCCCAATAAACCCCCAAGGTACAGATTCTGACTTAGTCAGTTACCTTCTCCGTGACTCTATATCACTTAGGCACAGTAAGTGTTCACTATGATTCAAACCTATTTAAACATGGTAGTTAAAAAAAAAAATTCCACCAAAATAAAAGGATAAATTAAAACAGGCATACCTTAAAAAAAAAACAAACACACACACAATAGCAGAGAAAAGCGGGAAAAAACAAAAATCACTGAAGTCAGAAACTGAATTTTCTCTAAGTAATATGACTAGTGAAAAATTACAAAGAAATTACTGTAAGAATAAATGGTGAAAGGCTGAAGAATTTCATTTGGTAAATGTTTTAAAGTGCCAAAATTCACAGTAACCAAATTGGAGCTTTTAAATTTTTATAGTCTTATCAAGTTTAAGTTTTTCCTTGCCAACATTCTGATTTGCATCTGTCTCCATAAAATAAAATCCAACAAGCTATAATATTAGTGATATTAATATTTTATGTTCTTGGCTGTCAATCAGAAGAATCATTTTACAAATTGTAGAAGTCTGCAAATAGAATGAATTTATCCAACTGTATAATCAATTGGTTATTGTGTATCTATACAATTTGGTACTTGCTGAATTATGTAGTATACTTTTCACAAGATAAGGTACAGATCTAAAGGTTTAACAAATCACTATTAATTGCTTTAGGGTACTTGGAAAGTCAAGAAGCCCACGCACAATATAAGCCTAGCAAAAAAATATATATTCTATCCATCCCAAAAAGAAGTAAAACCATGTAATAAAAAGAGAGAAAAGACATCTCAAAATCCCATTCCTATACATATTTTTGGAGGTGCACAATTTTTTCTCTCTGGTGAGGACTAATCTTACTACTGAGGGACACTCAATCATGAAGTCATTCACTCTTAATAGCTGACAGACAGACATTACATCGAGTTTGCCATAAGCATGGTGAGTGTCATCAGCACACCTTCTGAGCACATGTAAACACTAGTCAGATCCAGGTTTCTCATATTATATTCCACAGCATCTCACTAGAAGATACATACCTCCTCCTCTACATAAAAATGGAACCATGGAAAAGCCCATCTATTATACCTTTCTATTTCATAAAAAAATTTGTATCTTTACTTTTCTTTTTCACTATTTAAAAAAGTTTGGTCCATGTGCTTAATGACATGTCTGTCAGTTGTAGACCAATGGATAATCACAAATCACTACTCTTCAACACATTGGTATTTAGAAGTAGATACAGGGAGATGTACAGAAAAATGAGTGCACAGGTATGGACCCCCCTCACTGCCCATGTGCCTCAAAATGAACTGCTAAAAAGAGATGGCACATAGGAGAAATGAGAGCCCTGGTTTTGAACAGAGTCATCATTTTCTTTCAGAATTACTACAAAGATATCAACAAACATATTAATCACTACTGGATCTTTCCTGATGGCCATTTTTAGAATGGCTCTCCTTAGTTCCAGTTTCTGTAACTGAAAGCCAAATGCTACTGTAATAGCTATTATAAAATATAACATGAAACATTATACACCAATCTGTGATAGGGCATCTTGGTTAATCTTGAATTTCATTTTTTAGTTCTATGGCAATAGGTGCAAATTCGAGCCCTCTATCCTGTCTACTGTTTAAGGTAATATAAGACAAGTCAACCACATATATCACTTTAACATACAACAACTGTCCTATAGAACTATACATCTGTTAAGAATGAAGAAGTAAACTAGTGACACCACTTACAAGCAGCTGTATGATGTGAGGTAAAGTGAAAGGGATGGAAGAGAAAACAAAGGTCAAAACAACCCAGCAACAAAACCCCAAATTCTTGTAGCACTGAGCCTGTTGGGAGTGCTGTTAAAAAGAAATGAAAAAATTAGAAAAGGATAAACTGCTTAATTTTTTCTTTTATACTCACTTTTAAAAATTAAAGTAAGATGTAAATAGGGAAAGGTGAAGGGGGGGAAGGGAGGGCAGGGTTATGGGGAAAAAACAAGAAACAAGACATATCATGTAAAGGTACAAGATCCCAATGATAAATGTAACTGTATTGTTTGCTTTAAATGTACCAATAAACTTAATGGAAAAAAATTAAAGTAAGAAAAAATATATATTTAAATGGAAAGAATACCAATTTCACTTTATTAGCCTAATTTAGAAATAAGAAGAGGAGAATGGGGTTGAGATGAGGTATGAAGGAAGGGGGTTAAAACTTGTGACGGTAAAGATCCCTTCAACACGCCGGTGCAGTCCTCAATCACTGCAGCTTCACTTCAGTCAACAGAATTGCAATCCAAACACTGAAAGTGACTCCTGTTCTCCACTTGTGTGCCCAGTGACTCTTCAGTTACAGAGTGATGAGGTCTACCAGGTTGCCTTTAGGAGGAGTCATGCTGTCAGGAAAGAAATTTACTAAGGTGTCAAAGAGCTGAGTTCTTTGAGCATAGGTATGATCCACATCTGAAAAGCCTGGTGAAGAAGAGAGAACATACAAACTCAACATGTAACAGAAAAGTTAGTTCAGACCAGCAGCAATGTACAATGGAAAAAAGCAAATTAAATCAAGCTTCAGAACCAGACAGACTCTGCTAATGTGATTCCCATTCTACTACCTGGCAGTGGTGTGGACTTAGTTAATATCAGCTTCTCTAGCATTCAGCATTCTTCAGCTGTAAATCTATGACAATCTTGTTTATAAGATTACTGTGAATATTAAATGCAATGATATGTAAAGTACCTAGCAGAAAGACTGGTACTTCAGTAACTAAGTAATATTGATTTCTATTCCTTACAAAGTTCTTCCTCTATTAATTCATTAAAGAAATTTTAGTCCCTACAAGGAATGTTATCACTATGTATGCCTAAAATGCACCAATAAATGTTTTGTTATTTAAAAAAAATGAAAAGGATTTTAGGAAGTGGCTTAAAAAATCACTAAGGCTCTGAGAGCTGGAGGTATTAGCATAGTACTGAATGAAAAAAATGTAGATGACTGAAATTAACAAAACAAGTAATACGTAGAATGGTGCCTGGCACGTAGTAAATACCATCTGTTACAGTACTGCACACCAGACTCTGCTGGGTATACATTATAAAAGAATACAGAATGAACTACTTTTATTCAGATAAATATTAGAAAGTAGATGACATTATTAAAAGGTGGGGACTGTTACTCTAAAGATATTCCTTCCCTAAACTCTAATAAAAGCCTAATTTTCAAGTTCCTACCAGCCAATGCAACATTCAAGGACATGCCTCCTTCTTTCAGTCATCTGGTATACTGATCTCAGGTGCTTCAGATTTCTTATACACAAATGAGATATTTAAATGACAAAATATATGATTTTCCTATTGTTGAAATGGCTAGCTGAGACGTGAGCCCTGCTGAGTGCCATCAGAAACAGAACTAGAGCCACAAAGAGTTATAGATGCCATGATGGGTCAATGAAAACTACTTCAAATCAGACTGATCTCCATTCAACTTAGAATACAGTTTTAGGGTCAATCTGTTTTAATTTTGTAAGAACAGGGAATAGAATATAACACTGCCAAGGGTACCAGTTTCCTGAAAGAAAAGAAATGATGTCTCCAGAATGGTACATTTCCTTTTTAAAATTTTTATTATTACTGTCTTAAGTTTGAAAGGAAAATATTTCTTCCTTTGAGCTGAGCTTTTATCAAAGCCTACTATCATATCACAGAAATGAATAGAAGGAAATACTCTAAAATATTAACAAAGCTCATCTCTGAGTGGTGAGATTAATCTTTTTTCTATAGTATGCTTTTTTAATTTTCCAAATTGGTTTATTTTCAATTTTGTATTTGAAAACTTTCAAACCAACAGACAAGTTTCAAGAGTACAGTGAATACTTAGATGCATGTTTCACTTTGATTCATCTGTTGTTAACATTTTGCAGATACATTCTTCTGTGTGTTTATAACCTATTCACAATTTTGTAAAACTACTTGAGAATAAATTTTACATACCATCCCCCTATATTCTTGAGCACGTTTCAGTTAACAAGAACATCCACTTACACAATCAATTATATACTAAATTCAGAAAATTTAACATTGATATCCTAATAAGTAATCTTATCCACAGTCATTTTTCTCACTAATTTAAAATCCAATCCAATCTAAGATTACACACTCTACATAGTGTGCTTTTGAGGAGAGGGGTACTGGGGATTGAACACAGGGCCTTGTGTGTGCTTGGCAAGCACTCTACCACTTAGTTACACAGCCCTATATTTAGTTTTCGAGTCTCTTTAGTTTAGAGTAGTTCTTCAGTCTCAGTATCTTTTATGACACAGATAACCCTAACCCTCCAACCCCCTGTACCAGAGGCATTGAACCCAGGACATTGTGCTTTCGGGGGCAGGCACAGTGGAACTGAACTAAATCTCTGGCACAGATATTTTTGAGGAGCCCAGAGAAGTTATGCACAGATGTTAAATTTGGGTTCTATGATTAGTTTTTCATGATCAGATGCTGTTTGAGATGTTTTAGCCAGAAGCGATTCTATGCATCCTTCCTTCTCAGTGCACCAACTCAAAAGGCACGTGGTAGTTTGTCCCAATACTGGGGACATTAATTTTGATCACGTGTTTAAATTGGTGTATGACATATTTCTCCAATTCTGGTTGTTGTTTTCCAATTTTTAATTCATTAACTGGATGGGGAGATAATTTGATATTGCATAATTATCTTATTTCCCAATAGTAACAGTAACTGATTCTTGCTGAAACAATTATCATTTATATGTGATTTTCTAACTCTACAATTCCTTCTACAGCTTTTAGTTGACATTTATTATAAAGAGCATTTTTTTCTTCTTTCCATTTTACTTGTTTAGATCAGTATATACTCCTGAGCCCTGTTGTTTAATGTTAAACCTTTTACTATCATCATTGATTGTGAGACTTCATACTGTTTCAGATTTGGAATCTAGAGTTGGTTTCTGTGTCTTTCTGAAATATACCCATCGATTTTCGCGCATGGCTTTATTTCCTGATATAGGAAGATATCCAAGCTCACCCTTGCACTGCTCTAGAGTCAGGCATTTCTCAAAAAAAACCCTCGTTCTTTTTTTGTGGCAAATTATATTCAGAAGCCCAAGGTCAATTATAGTTTGTAGGCCTATACACATATACATTTATTTTTTAAAATATTAATACAAGTTTTTACTGCTAGTTCCATTTTTTTAGTCTCACAGAATTCATCTTTTATTCCATTCCAATTTCCCTTCTTCCACTAAGAATACCTTGACTCCCAGTGATATTATAATAATTTACTCATTTGCTCAACTTAAAATATATACGAAAAGAATTTTAGAATTACTACACTTATACTACTACCAACAAAAACAAGATTTCTTTGCTTTTTGGGGGGGTATTGGGGATTGAACTAATATTTCTTTGCTTTTATGGTCCTTACAATATACATTGCTGACAGTATAGAGTTTAAGCATTGTAACAGAAAAGTTTAGTTCTCTTTTCTCCTACTGGAGATTTAATAAATAGGTGTGTTTCTTTATATATTTAACTCTAACACTTTTCATCTTGTTTTATTATTTCATACTGAATTTGTAAAAATGCAGGATACATTATATTTTTAAGAAAAGATAGTGATTCTATAACACATTCCAATGAAGTAGTACCATTTTCATGAGATCAAATGACTTAAAAGGGAGGGACATGTTTAGTTTCTACTATGTGCAAGGTACTTCATATATAAGGCATGAATGAAAAATACAGTGAATGTTTGAATTTTAAAAATTACAGTAAAAGACATACTGCCATTAAACCTCTTCAAAATATTCGCTCTTGCTTAAAATACACTTACTGCATCATTTCTTGCTACTTTCTGAAACAGTGCTAGACGTCCTCTTTCATGAATGTCTTAAGTTGCTCTGCGGTAGTTGAATCAATTCAAAATGTTTATCTTTTATAGTCATTTTGGCTTTGGTGAAGAGCCACAAACAAACTGCACTGTTTTGGATCCAGTGAATCAGGTAAGTGGCAACTTACTGTAATACTTTTACTGTAATATTTTTATAAGCCCATCTTTCCACTGATGGCACTTGGCAGCAGCAATTATCATATGTATTTTTTAAAATCATGCCTCATAAATGCATTCATGAAAAGGATTTCCAGAACTGCTTCACAAAGTAGTAAGAACAGTAAGCTAAATGTGTTTGAAGCAAGGGAAAGTATTCTGAGGGGGATTAATAGCCATGTGTTTCATTGTAATAAGTTTTAATTTTTTACCGTATTTTTTGATCAACCCTTGTATGACCATACTACACTGCCACAAAATAGTAAGGTACATAAAATCCATTTTTCAGACAACTTAGAGTTAATAATTTAATAAGGTCTCACAATCGGTGAGGGAAGAGAGAGAATGTGAACCCAGTCTGTCCAGAGCCCATAATTTTTATTTACTGAGGTGCTCAAATTACAGAGCAATATGCTATGAAGATTTAACCCTCAGAAATACATTTTACTTTTACTATTTAACAACAGGAAAACTGAAACCTGCCATGCATGGTGGTGCATGCCTGTAATCCCAGCACTTGGGAGGCTGAGGTAGAGGATCGCTGTGAGTTAGAGAGCAGTCTGGGCTACACAGTGAGCTCCGGGTCAGTCTCAACTACATAGTGAGATCCTGCCTCAAAAAACAAAATAAAACAAAAAGAAAAAGAAAACTGAAACTTATCTAGAATTAGATGAATGATTAAGTTATGGTAGGCCCCTATTTTGGATTAATATGTAGTTATCAGTTCAACTAATACGAAAGATCTCATATATAGTTTCATAGACACAGTTTCAAGCCATATCACCCAAGGTTAAACTATGTGATGATCTATGCTTTCTTGCTCCAGCTCTTTTTTTTTTGGGGGGGGTACCAGGGATCAAACTCGGGTCCTTGTGCTTGCATAAGGCAGGCGGCGGAACCACTGAGCTAAATCCCCGACCCTGTTTCAGCTCTTATACTAAACTGTACTTTCATTCTGTTTAGGGCCATTTTCCACATTTGTATGTGGTTTGGTGACTTCACTATTTAAAATTGCCAAGAGTCTAGTGTTCTAGGTGCAGGAAAGCCATGATATGCTTTACAGAGAATTTTCATAATAAGCTTCATTCAGGCATGAGTTATTCCTGCTGACCAGGAATTCACTGTTCATGAAACAATAATATATATTAAATAAGGAATCTTTAAATAGAAATACATACAAGTAAAGGTTATATACATTGATCAGCTGAAAAAGTATTTTAACCAGAGGCTCACAGAAACCTCTTTATTTCTCAGAGGAGCAATAATGCTGTAACCATTCATTTAAAGATCTCCTATGACTTTATAAATGTAATTATTTTGAATAATGAGAATCAACTGAATTAAATGTCTCTTTTACAGGGGTATGTGTGTAAAGATCTACCAGATATGATTATAATTGAGGGTAGAGGGTAGACTGAGAGAGGTCATTTAAGAATCTTAAGCTTTGTAGTCAATTTTTAATTTTTCATTTATTTATTTATTTATTTTTGTTATCAGGGATCACAATTGGGACCTTGTGCTTATGAGGCAGGCAATGGAACCACTGAGCTGAATCCCCAGCCCTAACCTTCCCTCTTGTTACCTTTGCTGACTTGTGTGCACCATGTTGTTTCTCCTCCGTGATGTTTGTTTGCCATCCCAGCCTCAGAGGCAGCCAATTATGGACTGAAACCTCTATAAACTGTAAGCCAAATAAATTCCCCTACTTTTTTTTTTTTTTTTTTTTTTTTTTTTTTTTGGTACCGGGGATTGAACTTGGGTCTTTGCGTTCACAAGGTAGGCCACCAAACCGCTGAGCTAAATCCCCAGCCCAAACATTCTTTTTTAAATTTTTAAATTTTTTTTGGTACCAGGGATCAAACTCAGGACCTTGCACTTGCAAGGCAGGTGGCTGAACCACTGAGCTAAATTTCCAAACCTGTAGTTAATTTTTTTAAAAAAACACATAACAGAAAAGAGGTGGAAGGGCCAGTGAGTTAGCTCAGTGGCGCTGCACCTACCTTGCAAGCACAAGATCCTGAGTTTGATCCCTGGTACCAAGAAAAAAAAACCACAAAAAACAAAACTAGGTGGGAGTATAATAACACAATGAAATAAAATGCAGAGTTAAGACAAAAAGATAATATTCATTCTAAACCACTTGTCCCTAACCACTACATTTTTTTCAAGTGTATTTTCACCATAAAATGGAATGAGGAACTAACATCATCAGAGAAGTGGAAACTTCTGTAAACTCTATGAGAAGCAATATAGTTAGTTGATGGTTAAGAGAATGAACTCAGAAGCCATACTGACAAGGTTTGAACCATGGTTTTGTCACCCACTAGCACTATTCCTGGGCAAGGTACTTCAGCCTCTTTGCATCCCAGGTTTCATACACAAAAGAGATCACCTAGTGGTGGGGATTAAATGAGCTATGACATGAAAAAATGCTTAGAATAACATCTGCTCCCATAAAAATAATATTAACTAGCTATCACATCATTAATATTTTGTCCAAAAACAATGACTGCTCTAAAAAACAAGTGATATATTACTTTTATTTCCTCTATTATGAAGAAAGTGATGATTAGCAAGGTTAAGTAACTTCCTCAAGGTTACTGTTTTTCTTTTTTTGTGGTGCTGGGAATTAAAACCAGGCTCTCATGCATGTTAGTCAAGTGTTCTATAAATGATCTCTAACCCCAGCTCCAGGTTACTTTTAAAATTAGCCAGCAGTAGAGTTAGTACGTCACCCTTGACTCTGACTCATAACCACTATGCTATAATTTACCTACTAAACTATACTGCCTCCCTCAGACAGAATCTCACAGGAATTTCCTTTTTTGTATTTTTCTCAGTCGTGTTTGTATTGTTCTTTGTACATCTGAGGTTTGTTTAGAATCCAAGTAAAACAAGTTGTTCCTAACAAAATATATTAGCTGGCAGGGAACTGGGCAGACACATAAGAAAGGAGTTTAAATGAAGGTAAAATATTTGCTGATATCACCCTAACATCTTTAAAATACTGCCAAGAAATTCTTGTTCTAAGGGCTAAAAGTCAGGCAGAGATAGTTTAATACTGCTTACCAATAAATAAAAATAAAGGCTCTGGGCTGTGGTATGCATAAGAAGACACACATTCATTCAAACTATCTATGTGCCAAAGTTCCCAATTCACATATCACTACATCTCTGCTACAAATGATAAAATTTAAAAGGGTATGACCTTTCTAAAATAATGTTTATACCCAGATTCTCTGTCATCATACAGTTGTAATTGCTAGTAGACCAAAGACATTTTTTAAAAGCCCTCAAGTATATGGAACATTCCTAAGGTGAACCTACTTGAAGTCATGTTTTACAAAAGTTTGTTCAGTCTAGCCTTGCAGAATTCTACATATTCTAGAGTTAGAACATAAGACTGGGATAACCTTCATCAATAGCAACACCTCAATTGCTTTCTATGGACAAAGAGAGGGCAAAAGTCCAAGAAATGCTGTTATTCTTTCCCTTCTCAGTTCAAACACCAGAATTTGTATCTATATAAATTTTAAAATATATAGTTTTATATTTTTTCTCTGAGGAATAGTTAACCTTTAAGAGACAAAAGGATAAATAACAAAACTAAACTGGCATCTCAAAGTATTTATTCCAAATATAAAGAGTTATATTTATATTACATATACATATTAGAAAATGTCAACTCTAAGGCAAATAGTAAAAGCACTGGAATCAATGAGATTAATGTGTATTCACTGTATAACTATACATTATAATAACATGCAGAGAGCAGGAAATTTTCATATTTCAAAAGAACAAAATGCTGATGAAAAGCTGAACTACCAACAAGTTATCCTAGCAAAAATATCTTTAGAAATTCATCTGACCAAAGGTCTGGATCCTGAAACTTCTACAGACTTTGTACTTTACTACAGTGTAGTTTGCTTTAATAGTTCATTAATAATACTATTTGAAACAGCCTTATATGGAATTTGAATGTTTTAAATTCCAATTTAAAGCATTATCTATTGATTGATGGGAAAGGGAGCCATGGATAAATTTATGCTTTTATTAAAATGATGTTTCATTTTAGTAAATAAATATTCTATTAAATTATAAAAAATAAATAAATAAAATAATACTATTTGAGAGTACTTTTTAGTAATTGAGAGTACTTCTTAGTAAAGAATGATGCCCGCATCTGAGATGAAGAAAAACTTGTTTCAATTAAAACTTAATGATTAAGATACAAACCAATAAAATATTTTTCATTCTTAAGAAAGAGTTCATTTTCGCTTCTCCCAAAATGACTGATTTCACTGCCTTGCCCATTACCATTCTGACACCACACAATTCCACAAAAAATAAACTAAGAAAAACCATTTAACAAGTATAATTTCACAGTATGTCAGTAATACAAACTTAATTACAAAGCAGTGCTGAACAAATTAATTTATCTTGACCATGTCCCTACTGCCACCTGTTTACATCATAATGCACCTGTTGTAGCAGGAATCCCAAACTGAGCCACAAAGTGGGGAATGATGCTTGGAGAGTCAGCTTTTAGCAGGCTGTCACAAATGTTGCATACTACCTTTGGATTTGCTCCAGTTGTTTGGATGGACACCTCCCCTGATGTTTCATTTAAAAGAAACCAAAAGCCAATCTTTCAAATGCTAGGGCCCCTGACTGGATAATTATACTGGCACACTTACCTAAAGCTGTAAAATCTGAACCAGATTTGAATAGAGCAGAAGCTAGGAGCTGGAACTGTAAAGAAAAACAAAAGCAAATTAGCTGGTTAGTGTGTTGAAGGAAAATAGCTTCTACATCTTTGACCATTACTTTCTGTACTTGCTGCACATATATTGTATAGGTTCATTCAGCTAAATAATGACAAGAACACATTTAGATTTAAGAATATGCCTGCTTTCTTATTGGAGTTCTATTACTGTTTTCCAAAATACCTGACAAAGTCCAAAATTATTTTTCAAAGTTTATTAAAATATGTATAAATCAAGGAACAGTAGGTTTGCTGCAATAAAAAATATAGTCATTCACTTTGGGTTCTACCAATCTACCCATATGGATACTGGTACCCCGGACATAGTTACTGAATTTTTGGTATAGTATATTCTTAACTCAAAAATAAATTGCATGACCCTGTAAAATACCTGAGGTCTCTGCTGTATAAATATAACTGTGAAAAAAATAGCACACATATGTGATTCCCAAATTACAAAATTACAAAGAACAATAGGATCCCACAGTCATGGATGATTATATTTTTACCACTGAAAGTACTCCCATCTTCCTTTTTGAGATAGGTCCTTGCTATGTACTCCAGGTTGAGCTATTACCAGCCCCTTTTGATTTTTCATTTTGAGATAGTGTCTTGCTAAATTGGTAAATTCTCAGGATGCACTCAAACTTGCAATCCTTGAGATCCTCCTTTCTTAGCTTCCCACAATGCCAGGATTACAACTGAGCACAAGCCTCAAGTCTTTTCTCTTATCATTAAGTGTATTTTTGTCATGTCCAAGAAGTTTTTGGCTATCCTAAAGTTGTAAAGATATCTTATCTCCAGGCTTTACTGTTTTATATTTAATCTGTAATCTTAATTTTTATATAAACAGTAAAATAGAGATTGAGATACCCAGTTATTCAGCGTCATTTGTTAAAAAGACTTTCCTTTCTCCACTAGACTTGGCAACCTGATCAAAAACCAGTTGGTTATATATATGTGGAACTATTTTTGTACTCTAGTCTGTTCTACTGATCCATTTGTCCTTAAGCAAGTACCACAATGCCTGACTGCTTTATACAGAGTGTTAACATAACATCATTTAGTATAAAATCACCAATTTTTCTTTTTTTTTTTTTAACAATCATTTTGGATTTGAATTTTGTTAGATGCTTTTCTTCATTTATGGAGATGACCTATGATTTTTTCTCCATTCTGTTTATGTGATGAATTAAGACTGTTTCATCTTCAAATGTTAAACCAATCAAATATTCCTAGGATTCCCTTCTATTTGGTCAATTAATATTTGGATTCAATTAAGTAAAATTTGTATAACAATTTTGCATCTATGTTCATGAAAGGTATTAATCTATAATTTTCTGCTTATAATGTCTTTGCTAAGAATTTTTTTTTCTCAGTACTGGGGATCGAACTCAGGACCCCGCAGGTGTGGTGCCAATGAGCTAAATTCCCAGCCCCAGTCTTTGCTAAGATTTTATACCAGAGTTAAAATGGCTTTATAAAAGAATTCAGAAATTGTCACATTGTCCTCTGGTTTCTGGAAGTCTATGTAAAATGGTTTAATTTTTTCTCCTTCATTCCTTAAAAAGTTGGTAGAATGTGTCATCTGGGCCTGGACTTCTCTTTGTTGGGAAGTTTCTATTTACAAATTCAAACAGTCTCATAGAATAAGGAGTTCCTTAAGATTATCTATTTCTTCTTATGTCAGTGTTGATAAATTGAATCTTTTAAGGAATGTATCAATGTCATCAAATTCCTGACTTTGTTAACAAAGTTATTCATAGTATTACATTTTTTTTTTTTTTTTTAGTACTGGGGATCAAACTCAGGACCTTGAGCTTGCAAGGCAGGCAGTGGAACCACTGAGCTAAATCCCCGGCCCCTCGTAGTATCACTTTAAATGTATGCAGGAATTGTAGTGATTCCACCCTTTCCTTTGTGATGCTGATATTTTATGTTCCACTTTTTTTCTAGATGGTTATTAATTTTATTTACCTTCTCAAACAACTGATTTTTCACTTTAATATTTTTCTCTATTACAGTATTTGTTTCTGATTTCGCTACATTTTCTATGTATTTATTTGGAGTTTAATTTGCTCCTCTTTTCTAACTCCCAAGGTGAAAGGTAAACTTCATTGATCTACATAAAGACAAGGAGAAAGCTATTATTTGAGTAAGTGGATTGACATGTGAGACCATGATTTTAACAAATACCAAATGATATTGCAGATCAGGATCCAAACTCTGGATTCACACATCTCAAAGTTGTTTCACAGGCATCTTAAAATATGAAGCAGTACCCACGTACTGCCACAAACAGCTTCACAAAGAGCCTTTTCATTTCAGCTGATAGTTAATGCCATTCTTCCAGATTTTCAGGTCAAAACACTTTAGGATATTTTTGTTTTGTTGGTACCAGGGATCAAACTTGGAACCTTGCACTTGCGAGGCAGGCAGTGGTACAACTGAGCTAAATCCCCAACCCTAGTCTTTTTTTTTTTTTGGTACCGGGGATTGAACTCGGTCGGGTCTTTGCACTTGCAAGGCAGGCCACCAAACCACTGAGCTAAATCCCCGGTCCCAGAGTCTTTTAAATCCTATGTTCAATTTATCATACAGATCTCTTGGTCCTACCTCTAAATATACTGAAGATCTCATCTATTTCATTTATCACTCTAATGCTTTTTTTTTCTCATTGAGTTTATTGGTACATTTTAGGTATATAGTACAGTTACATTCATTGAGCTCTTGTACCTTTACATGACAGGTCTTGGTTCTCAATTTTTTCCCCTTACCCCTGCCCTCCCTTCACCCCCTCTTCCCTTCCCTATTTATGAACTACAATAATCCCTGGCTTAGACTTCTACCATCTCCCTGATGGATCTCTCTGTCTTAATTTTCATTCCCGTTTAGTCTATAGTAGTTAGAACAATCTAATTAAAACACATCATATCATATCTCATTCTTTTCTATAATACCCTGAACTGACTTGTTATTCATTCAATGTAAATGCCAAAGTCCTCTGGCTTATCAAGTTATTCACAATCTGTTCTTCCAATGCCTGCTCTTACCTCTTGGACCTTATATCTGACTACTCTTGCCCTTCTTAACTCTCTACTTCATTTAGCATGTTCGCCTTTTCACTCTCCTGAACCATGCCAGAATGCTTCTAATGTAGGATCTTTGTTCTAGCCCTCTCTTCACTAGAAATAATCTTCACCAAATTATCTGCTTATATCATTCTTCACATCTTTCATATCTTTGTGAAAATCTCATTTCTAATTTAAGTTTATTATGATCAACCTTTTAAAACTGCAACTGTCCAATTCTCATCTTCTACACTTATCTCCTTTTCTCTTATTTTTTAAATTTATAATATTGACCAAGTTCTAATGTATAATATAACTTGCTTATTTATATTTATTATTTATTCATCTCTTCCACTAGGATGTAAGTATATCTTGGGCAGGGATCTTGTTTGGTTTGCTAATATATTTTCTATACCTACATCCTTTGCATATTGTAGGGAATTCATACACAGCTGTTGACTTACACTAGTATTCTGGGAAGTAAGCAGAAGCATGGTTCTATTATAGAGTACTCTAAAAAGAGCAGACATGATTTTGGGATCTTTTTATCAGCCCTTTTCTAGAAAAATGTATCATTTTATAAGATAAGTTTATCATTAATTCAGAACCCATGTTCTGGAGACTAGAAGAAGCAAAAAACCAAAATTGTGTGTGTGTGTGTGCGTGTGTGTAGCCACACACTGTCTTGATAAGAGGCAACGATAATCATTATAGTAACCACACATACAAAATCTAAAAAATCCTTTTAGTTATTGATAGTCATTTAAATAATGAAAAAGAACAAAATCAGGTTACTACAGAAAATGAAGAGCATAATGCCTTTCTCAATGAGAAGAATCATCTCCTATAAGGAAAGAGATCTAGTTGCCTCAATGACAAATGCTGTAAATACATGTACTTTAATTGTAATGAGATTTTTTTTTTTTTTTAAATCAAAAATAGATTATTGGAGAGCCAGAGATTTAGCTCAGTGGTGCTGCCACCTGGCCTCTCAAGCAAGCACAAGTCCTAAATTCTATCCTGGGTACCAAAACAACAACAAACAAGATTATTGGAATATAAAGTTTAAAAGTGAAATCTGCTCACACATTTTATACAAAATAATAATCCTGCAGACCTGTAATTATCAATGTCAAGAGTTTTTTCAATTTTTTTAAGTGAAGACAGAGGAGAATCTTTGGGTAAGGGCATGGTTTTGAAAAAAACTTTGTGAGGTCATTCTGATGTTAACAAACACAATACTATTTTACTAACTTCTAGGGCTAAATTATTCTTACATGATTAAGCTTTTAGGAAATGCCATGGAAGTCTATAATATATAAAACACATTTTACTATTGAAAAAAAAAAGAAAGAAAAACAGAAATTAGCTACCAAAATTTTTCAAATTTTCCCTTTCCTGATTTTTCCCACTAGCTTAGCTTTAGGAATAAACTGTTTTGGGTCAGGGATTTAGCCCAGTGGTTCCACTGCTTGCCTCGCAAGAGCAAGGTCCAAGTTCGATCCCTATATACAGTTCCTACAGCTGAATTTATTTACTATGAAATTCTTTTGTTTTGTTTTTTAAAATAAGGAGAAAATGACAGTGCCCAATTATATCCATTTTATATACATTATGGAGAAATCAAAAGGAAATCTCTGTAACTTTCAAAGTATTTCCAACAAAATTAATACTAATGGACTTCACATAATGTAGAGTTCATATTCATAACAGCTTAAATCAAACATATTCTGCTTTTTGGGCATAACTACAATAATCTTCTTTATTGTCAATAGTATCGTGAATTGACTGAAGTCCCAAGAAAAACAAACCAACTGTCTCTATACAGGGACATTTTAGAATCTAAAGTGTGTCCCCCTGATTCTCTACCTAGTAATAGGCTATAACCAACACTGAGTGAGAGAAATAGGACTTAATTTCACAGCAGGAAACAATGAAGAAGTGTTTTGATGTTGAGGACACTCAGGCTCTATCGCTTTCAAAGTACAATGAATGTGGTGCGTTCAAGAAATCTGACATTAAATCTAAAACCTGTGTCAATGCCAAAGACAGAAAAGCATGTCTGATATTACAATTATAAAGCCAAAGAAAATCAGTAACTAAGAGAAATGTGTGTAAGTGACAGAACTGGGTATCATCTGCACCAATTCTATGAATGAAAGAGAAAATGGATTGCAGTTCAGATCTGCTAGATGAACAAGATTAGAAAAGGAAAAGGAAGGGAAGAAAATGAAAAGGAAGAAATGACAAAAGGAATCTCAGAAGTTAGTAGAAAGAAACAGGTGTGGTGGCATATGTCTGTAATCCCAGAACTCGGGGAGGTTGAGGCAGGAGGATCACAGGTTTAAGCCCAGCCTGGACAACTAAGCAATTAACAAGACGCTGTCAAAATTTAAAAAAGTAAGATCTTGGGGTGTAGCTCAGTGCTAAGGCCCTGGGTTCAATATCACCATCTCTCCCTAAAAATGTGTTAGTGGAAAGAGAGGCTATTGTAAAACCATGAAAGTCATTGTGGGGAAAGTCAAATATTGGATGGGAAAAAATGCCCCTAAGAATATGAAATCTAGCTGGGCATGGTGGCACACACCTGTAATCCCAGCACTCGGGAGGCTGAGGCAGGAGGATCGCTGTGAGTTCGAGACCAGCCTGAGCTACATAGTGAGTTCCAGGTCAGTCTCAACAACATAGTGAGACCTTGTCTCAAAAAAACAAACAAAAAAAAAGAATATGAAATCTTTAGAAACAGCTGCTTCTAGCCCCATAACAAGAAACTGAAGTTCTGCTCAGCTACTGATCTCTAAAGTTTAAGAACTAATGATGAATGAAATTAGTAGCCTATAGTCAAGCTATTTTGCAACATTTGTACAACTCAACATTAAAGCATCAAGGATTCTCTTCCCACCAACCTCTCTTTCTCCCTACAAAAAAGGGGGTACTTTCTTTTCTCTCTTTAGAGAACTTGAGAATCAACAGAAAACTTTCCCTTTTTTTGGTATTGGAAATTGAACATAGGGCATTCACTCAACAATCCTGTTTTTTTTTTTTTTAATTTTAAGACACAATTATATTTCCACATTGCCTAGGCTGGACTCAAACCTGTAAAACTCCTGCCTCTACCTCCTAGATTATGAGGCTGTGCCACAGCACCAAGCTCTAGTAGGGCGCATGTGAAAGACAGAGAAAGAGAAAGACACACAGACACACACAAATACACATGGTTTGAGACAGTGTAGGTCACACTGACTTCAAACTCACCATGTAACCCAGGATGGCCTCAAGCTTGTGATCCTTCTGCCTCAGTGACCCCAAGGCTGGGATAACATGAATACTCCAATAGCTTTATTGGATTTTTTTGAGACAGGGTCTTTTTGTATAGGCCTGGCCAGACTCAAACTCATTATGTAATACAGGCTGGCCTCAAACACCTCAAAAGAACACTATGAACTGTTACATAATTCATAAAAGAATCATGAGACTATGGAAAAAGTAAAAATTACTGTTTTCTTCCTGATGTTCAAAACTAACACCTGCGTTAAAATGTTGTATCTGAGAATTCTTTTTTAAATGGATCAAGGGTTTTCTGTGTAACTTACATATTACCACATAAAAATATGCCTGTTTAATATTTAGCATACCTGCTCTTTTTTTTTTTTTTTTTTTTTTTTTTTTTTTGAGACAGGGTCTCCCTATTAGTTCAGGATAGCCTTGCACTCACTATGTAGTACAGGCTAGCCTTGAATTTGTAGCAATTCTCTTCTCCTCAGCCTTCTGAGTGCTGGGATTGAGTGTGCACCACAACACCCAGCTTACTTTTTTTTTTGGTGATACTAGGGATTGAACTCAGGACCTTCCACTTACAAGGCAGGCAGCGACACTACTGAGCTAAATCCCTGGCCCTGGCTTATTTTTAAGATTAGTGTCATCATATTTTCTTTTAAAAGTTCAAATTAGACATTTTTTTAAATACTCAACTTCTGAAGTGTACAATTTTTCTTTACCTCTTTTGTCTCTTCTGGGTCTGAATGATCCACAGTTATATAAAGATCATTTTGCAAATATTTTAGAGCACTAAGAGGATCTATTTGGGCCTTTTCTTCAAACCTAGAAAATATAAATATGAATAATAATTATTTTGGGTTATAAGATACCATGAGAAATACCTTTAAGATCCAGAGCAAAGTAATATACCTCAGTTCATAAAAGCTTCTGTTTGCAAACAAAAGCATTTGTCAAAATTTTGCTTCTGTTCACAAACTCTGCATCAGGTAACAAACATGACCATGGCCATCTTCTTCACAGGAATATAAACCCAGCCATCTTCGCCAAAATTGTAAAACAAATTAAGTTTATAAACTGAAGTACTATTGTATATGAAGTGAGTTTTTCTGGAGATCTAAAAAGCATGTCTGGGAATCCAGAGTAAGAATACCACCAGGCACAGTGCAGATGTGGAGTCCTTGGAGACATAATGGAAATGCCAGGTGGCCACAAACAGATGCAGTGCTGAAGAACACGTACTTGTTAGCCTTTTCTTAAAAATGCAGTTGAGAATTAAGACAACTGTAAAACAGTGAATATGCCAAATATTTTACGTATCAGAACTGCAGAAAGGCCCAGTGCGTTTTATTAAAAACAAGGAGTTATAAAATAAAAAGTTGTTTAGATTTATAAAATGGATTTTCTAAAAAATGTGCTTAACAGATTGGAAAGTGAAATGAGTATGGTCTCTTTTTAAAGGTATCGTTAACATTGATTTGATATTTTTCATGAGACTATTTCCATGCCTCAATGAAAATAACATGAGAAAAAAACACCTGTAGCAACCACTTACCAAGCAATGTAATATGTGAGATATTGTATAAGGTATTTGATACACATCATTTTGTTTACCCCCTAAAATAACTCTACGATGATACAGTTTTACCATTTTTAAAAACAAGAAACGCAGGACCAAAAAAAATGAATTTGACCAAGGTAAGAGCTAGTAAGTAACAGCAGCACAATCAAACTCAGTTGTACTTGTTCCAAAGCTGAAAAGGAAAAGCGTTCTCTTAAAAGGGGATGGGAGGGGATTCAGGTCTATCTATCTACGTAAGATAATGTATATTGGTTATAATCATACATGATTTATAATAAATTGTCATGTTTTTCAAAATAATACAAAGAAAAGACAACTCAATTTTTCTCTGGGAAAGGAAAATGGTAATGGAAATGGAAATGGACTCTATCTCATGGTGTTCAGGCTGAGGACACCCTGAGTGGTATGGTAAGGTACCTGTACTTCAGGCAAGTCAAAAACTAGCAAAATATTACAGCTCTTTTGTACCTTTATTTACTTCCTTGGTACATAACATACTGTTCTCCATCCAAATGTATATTTTAACTAAATAGAATAATTATTTTTCATAACAACAGAAAATAAGGAAGTCAGCCCAGAAACACTGGGTAAGCTGCTATATAATGAAAAAATGTCTAATTAGTATGACATTTGAATTAAAATATACTACCCAATTATTTAGAAACAAACTTCAATCTATTCTGTCTGCAATGTAGCCATGTCCTTCAAATTCTTAATTCACTTAAGAGTCTGGGAGGGAAAAAAGTCTACACTGTTTCAAGTGTTTAAAGTTGTCATTTTTTTTAAATTGTCAGTTTGAAGTAGTAGTAGACAAAATTTTTAAGATGTTCTAGTACCATGCTTGTCCTTTTCTCAGACCCATAACAAATTTTCAAGAAATTTTGGGCAACCTTCAGAATTATTCAATGTCTTACTGAGTTTTCTCGGACTCTTGAAGAGTATCTCTTTCTCTTCATGTCTCTCAAAAGGTGGTGACCTTCTAATAGCTGACCTTCCAGGAAAGACATTTACTCCTCTCATTCTCTCTGAGAAAGCTCAAGGATGCAATGTCAGGCAAATTCTTTTCTCTAAATGCTCACAGATAATCTCCACAACAACTAGTTGGTAAATAGAAATGAAACTATAGTTTCTCCAAAGTTGTTTACCATTTAAACAAACTATTTTAAAAATAATGTTAACATTAGGTAAAATACTAAGGAAGGAATGTTAACAACATTACTTGGAGATACCTCCAAGTTTAAATCTTGTAAAAGTTTATCCTTTGTCATCTAGACAAAGTGAGAATTCTTTTTTTTTTTCCACGTCTAGATCCTGCAGGAAATAAACACTAATTATTCACGATATGCTTCACACTGGCTTCTTCATTAATTTATCTCTCAAGCACAACTTGTGAACCAGAGAAATGGTAACTACACATTATACAATAAAGGAACAAAAAGTCAAGTTATATATAAATAGGTAATTTTAGGTATTTACATTCTATATAAAATACAGAATGTGCTAAACATACAAAATAAATACTTGCACACATATATACATATGTATATGTTTACATATGTAAACATGTGGGTTTAAATGGAGAGGTGTGAAGTCAAGAATACTTGGGATAAAATCCTGTCTTTGAACCAGCACTCCAAAAATTCTCAAGGATATCCTAGAAAGACTAATGAAGCCAAGAGTAGATAAAGTCTAATGAATGAATATACCAGGTAGGGTGAGCAGTTAAACAGAAGGGAAAGAAAGAGAATCAGTAACAGAAAAACAATGCAATGACAGGGTAAGTCAATACCTTTAGGTAATAACTCTGAATGTGAATGGTCTCAATTCCTCAATCAAAAGACACAGACTTAGCAGAACAGATCAAGAAACAAAATACAGTGGTATGCTGTATACCGGAAACACATTTAATCCAAAAGGAAACTCACTGGCTAAAATTCAAAATATAGAAAACAATATTCCATGCGATGGGAACATACACAAAAAAAGCAGGAGTAGCTATTCTATTTTCAGACAAAGTGGATTTCAAGTCAAAACTGATCAGAAGGCAAAGAAGGTCCTTCTAAATTGGTTAAGGGAACAATTTGATAGAGGTAACAATTATTAACATATATGCACAGAACAGTATATCCACCTTCATAAAACAAGTATTACTGGACATAAAAGATCAGACAAATATCAATTATACTGAAGAATCTCAATATTCTACTGTCACAAACAGATCAACTAGACAAACATAATCAGCAAGTATCAGAGCTGGGGCCGGGGATGTAGCTCTGTGGCACTGCACATGCCTTGCAAGTGCAAGGTCCTGAGTTTGATTCCTGGTACCACAAACAAAACAAAACAATTATCAGTGCTGAAGCAAACCTTCAAACAAATGGACTTAATAGATATCTACAGTGTCCCACCCAGTAACAGCAGAATATATATTCGTCTTAGCAGCACATGGAACTTTCTCCCAAAGAGACCACGTACTAGCTGATGAAGTATGCTTCAGTAAATGCAAAATAATCAAAGTTATAGCATGCATATTATCAGATCATAGCATAATGAAACTAGAAATCAATGACAAAAGAAAACACAGAAATTATGCAAACTCTTGGAAATTAAACAATACACTCTTCAATAATCATGGGTTACAGAAGAAATCAAGGAAGAAATAAGACAGTTCCTGGAACTAAACAATAATACTGACACAACATATCAGAATGTATGGGACATAATGAAAGCAGTCCTAAGATAGAAGTTTATAGCTTTGAATGCCCATATCACAAAAACAGAGCAAGCCCAAATGAATAAACTAACAATGCACTTCAAAGTCCTAGAAAATCAAGAACAATTCAAATCCAAAGTTAGTACAAGGAAGGAAATTATAAAGACCGAAGCAGAAAACAATAAAATTGAAACAAAAATATACAAAGAATCAATGAATAGAAGAGCTGGTTCTTCAAAAGAATAAACAAAATAGACAAACTTTACCAAAAAAAAAAAAAAAAAAAAAAATTAAAAAAAAAAAAAAAAAAAAAAAAAAGTGAAAATGTAACAGACACTGCCAAAATCCAGAAGATTATGAAGATTATTAGCAACTACTTTGCAAACCTGTACTTCAATAAATCAGAGAATTCAGAAGAAACAGATTCCTAGATACATATGAATTACCAAAACTGAACCAAGAAGATATAAAGACCCTGAATAACCCAATAACAGGCAATGAAATTAAAACAGTAATAACTATCAACTAAGAAAAGCCCAGGTCTGCATAATGTTTAGTAAGATTGAAAGGGAAGCAATACCTCCAAAGTCATTCCTGGAAACTAACATTACCTTGAGAAGCTAATCACTTTAATGAATATAAATGCAAAAATCTTCAAGATATTGGCAAACAGAATGCAACAAATTATCCGAAGGACCATACATCATGACTAAGTAGGCTTCATTTCAGGCATGGTTCAACACATGCAAATCAACAAATTTAAACATCACATTAATAGAAGCAAGGACAATAATCACATGATTATCTTAACAGACACACAAAAACCTTTGACAAAATTCAAAAACCACTCATGATAAAACCACTGAAGAAAACAGGAATGAAGCTTTATCTCAATTGGATAAAAGCCATTTATGACAAACCTACTGTCAACATAATATTAAATGGGAAAACAGAAAGCTTTTCCTCTAAAATCAGGATCAAGCAAGGATGTCCAGCATCCCACTCCAGTTCAATTTTGTACTCAAAACATTAGCAAAAGCAGATAGGCAAGAAAAAGAAATAAAAGTTATATAGAGAGGAAAGAAAGAAGTCAAGTTATCATTACTTGCAGATGACATGATCCTCTACATAGAGGATTCAAAGTATTCCACCAAAGACTCCTAAAATTCATAACCAAATTCAACAACATAGTAGGATATACAATCAACACACAAAAATCAATAGTGTTCCCACAAACCAATAATGAACTCGCTAAGAAAGAAATTAGGAAAAAAATATTACTCACAATAGCACCAAGAAAAATTAAATAAGTAAAAACCTAACCAAAAAGGTAAAAGATGTCTATAACAAAAACTATGGTACTCTGAAAACAGAAACTGAAGATGACATCAAAAAATGAATAGATAAATCGCCTATTCCTCGATATGCAGAAATAAATAGTCAAAATGGCCTTATTTCTAAAACTGATACACAGATTTAATGAAAGCCCAATCAAAATACCAACAGCATTCTTCATAGAACTGGAGAAAACAATTCTAAAACACACATGAAACCAAAAGAAACCCAAAGTAGTGAAAGCAATCCTGAACAACAACAACAAAGTGGGAGGAGTCATAATCCTAGATTGAAGTTATATTATAAAGCTAGAGTGACACAAGACAAAACAAAACAACTCAACAGCATGCTACTAGCATTAAAAACAGACTTTTGGATTAATGAAACCAAACAGAGGATTCAGAAACAATGCCAAACACATTCAGTTTCATCTTTGACAAAGGGACCCAAAATATACATTGGAGAAGAGGTAGGCCTCTTAAATGGTGCTGGGAAAACTGATTATCCACATGCAAAACATTGAATCTGGTCCTGTAATGCTCACCATGTACAAGTAAAATCAAAATGGATCAAAGATCTAAATGTTAAAGCAGAAAGTGCAGTAAAATCAAAATGGATCAAAGATCTAAATGTTAAATCAGAAAGTGCTAGAAGATAAAATATATAAAACTCTTGAAGTCATACGCATAGGCAAGGACTTTCTGAACAGAACCTTGCTTGCACAAAAAATAGTACCAAGAATTAACAAATGGGATCATATAAAATTAAAAATGCTTCTGCACAGCAAAGGAAACCAACAGAGTGAAAAGACAGCCTATAGAGTGGGGAAAAACTTTGCCTGCTACTCCTCAGAGGACTAATATATGTAATATACAAAGATGCAAAAAAATTAGATCCCCCAAAATAACACACAGGCAAAAAATTGGCAAATGAAATGAACAGACACTTCTCAAAAAGAAGTGCAAATGGCTAATATATACAAGAAGGAACGTTAAACATCACTGACCATTAGAGAAATGTAAATTCAAACAACAATGAGATTCTATCTCACCCCACAAAGAATAGCCATCATCAAGAAATCAACAAATCCCAGTAAGGCTACAGGGAGAAGGGAACCCTTCAAAACTGTTGTTAGGAATGTAAACTAGTACTGTACCACTACTATGAAAATAACATGGAGATGCCTCAAAAGACTAAGGAAAAAATTACATTTGACCCAGCTATTCACAAGACTAAAAAGCAAACATGATCAAGGAGATATATGAGGAAATGTTTGATTACATAATTTTGTAATTAATTAACAAAGGTAATTATATAAAACTTCTTTTAAATTGTTTTATGACATATAAAACTATAAAAACATTATTTAACCAACTACCACACCACGTTCATTATCATGAGAGTTATGAATAGGTTGAGAATATAGTATGTATTGATCTACAGATGATCTAACTTGTTTGTCTGTTTTTTGAGACAGGGTCTCACTAAGTAGTTCAGGCTGATCTTGAACTTACTATGCACCCCAGGCTGGCCTTGAACTCCTGGCAATCCTTCTGCCTCAGCCTCCCAAATGATGGGATTACAGGTGTGTGCCACAATGCCTGGCTGTGCTGATCTAATTTGTAATGGTTAGGACTTGAGTTCCTCCATGGTAGCAACATGACCTTCATAGCAAAACCTTTTTGTATTATGTTAACATTCACAAAATTTCACTTGCTCTGCAAAATATTTTAATACCAATGCCTTTACTTTGTATCTTCCTTTGAAAGAGGAAAGCAAAAAAAAAAAAACTTTAACAGAACATCTACAAAATACATGATTTTCACAGTATTTACATTATTGTTTTTATTAAAGTTGCAAAGAGAAAGATTCATCACCAAAGCTAGGTAACACAACAACAGTAGCTGATAATGTTAATTTAAAGTTTTCAGGGAATTATTCTAATACCTGTGTTTTCTTATAAGGTACTTGCAGTGCCTCAGTAAGTAATCTTTTGAAGGTCGACATAGTTTCAGTGACCAGAAGTCATCAAGTCTCATCTTTGGAGAACAAGATTTTCCAGGATTACCACCAAATAAGTAATGAACCTATTACAAACAAAACAAACAAAATTTTTAAAAACTCATACATTCTAAAGAATATAAAGAAAGCCATAGTAAAATTTGTTTTGGTAGAATAGCAGGTAACTTCTGCAGCCTTATGAACATGAAAAGATTAAAAATTAGTTCATTTTTTCCAAAATTTTCTGTTGATTTTTTCATTTCATTTTACTTTAACATTTTATACTAAAATGGCTCATACTATCATAATTACAATGACAGGAAGAAGCTAATCCAACATAAAATTTCCAGAAGATAACAAATAACAAGTTACTCAAGTGTCAGAATGGCAAATGGCAACATTTGAAAGCACTTTTTTTTTTAATTGAGTTTATTGGTACAATCTAGGTATACAATACAGTTACATTCATTATTGGGATCCTGTAGAAAGCACTCTTGACACTCAACCAGGCATGGTGGCGCATGTCTGAAGGGTAGGAAGATGAGGTCTAAGGATCATTAAGACTGAGATCAGCATGGACAATTTAGAGAGTCCCTGTCTCAAAATAAAAAAGGGGAGAGGAAGGCAGGAGAGAGGAGAGGAGAGGGAAGAGTAGGGGAAGGAAGGGAGGAAAATAAAAAGAAACGACCACAACTCTGACAAACAAGTTGGAAAGAATAACTGAAGGAGAAGAGCACATTATTTTTTAAAATTTTTACCATCTTATTTAGCTAGAATTAATTAAATGTCAAATATTAAACGTCACATATAATTTGTAAAATAACTTTTAAAATATTATTCCATTATTCAATTACCAAAAATGTAAAAAGAATGCAATAATGATTTCACTATTATATTAGACGTTTAATGTTATTTTACATGTATACAAAGCTTGAGAGCATTTGCTGAAATTCTGAAAACATTTATACTCACTGGTATTATACAGTCGAGATATAATTTCTATCCTTTAGATGGAATTCATTCAACACCTTAAATTGGGAGAAAGAGCTTTATTCATTCCCAAAGACCCATGGGATCTTTTACTTGGAGCTCTCAAGGTATACAGCATAGATTTTAAATAATCATCTATACAGCCTAAACAGAATCAGGATGCATCAGTAAATTTCTATATAATCTGAATCCAAGCACTAAACTATAGAATAAATTTAAGGGAGCATCAGGGATTTAGCTCAGTGGAGCCATGCCTGCCTCACAAGTGCAAGGTCCTGAGTTCAATCTTCTGTAGCCCCCGCCCCACAAAGGTAGGAAAACAAGTCCTCAAAAGAAACAAGGATAAAAATGACTCCAAACTTTAGGGCTAGGGACATAGCTCAGTGGTGCTGCACCTGCCTCGCAAGTGCGAGGTCCTGAGTTTGACCCCCAATAAAAAGAAGAAAAAAATTCCCCAATTTAAGGGAAGAAGTTAAAGGAACCAAAGCAGGAAACAGGACCCTGGCACAGATAACTCTTTAATATGAAGACAGGAGCAAAATGATGCTGGTGGCTCAATGAGTGACTCCTGTCAAGTCTCAAGAGCTCTGAATAGAAGTTTGCACTTCTTGATAGTCCTCTTTTTACATATACAAGGCTGAATATAGCAAGCAGGATTTACACAAAGCAGAGCAGTGGAAAGTGGTTGAGCAAAGAGTTCTAACAGGACTTTCTAAGTCCGTTATGCTCCTTTAATGACAGATTACAGAAGCTGTTATGGCCACTCAGGTACATTCTACAAAGAGCATAGTTATCTGCTTAACCCACAGTTTGTTAAGGCATAGTTACCTAGTAACACAGTTAACTCATAGTTGCCCATCTGCATGTGGAGAGGTGGTCTCCTCTCTCAAAACCACTCTGAATGCTTTGCGACACCAAAAATTTCAAACGCAATACTATTTTCACAAGGCTCATCAAAAAGAAATCACTCATATATAGGAAAATATGGATAGGATAACTTTTTACACAACAGGGAAATTATATACCAGGAAGTTGCATGCTTATTCCTCCTCTTTCATATCATAAAGTACTTAAATGCTAAAAACTGCATTTTTTTGGTTTGTTTTGGTGGTGGTATTAGGCCTCACACGTTAGGCAAACACTAACTACTACTGAACTACAGAAGCAGCTGATGACTATTTTCAAGAGGCAAAATACCAAGAATTAAATAAATTACGCAAAAATATTGTCTTTTTATTGGTGTATGTTAGTGATATGGAATAGAGATTCATTTGGGTATACTGGCATATTCATATAACATTTTGATTGATTTCATCCCCATTACCTCCCTCAACTTCTTCCCCATATCTAAAAAGTCTATTCCCTAGTTTCCTCTAATCTTTCCTTTATTTAAAATTTATTTTAGATTACTTATAGAAGAGAAAATATGCACTATTTAACAGAGACTACTTCATTTCACCCAACATGACAGTTTCTAGTACCGCTCACTTTCCCACTTTCTTTTTTTCCTCAAACTGGTCTTTAAGTCATTATGTAACCCAGGCTGACCTAACACACAGTGATCTTTCTGCCTGAGTTTACCAAGTGCTGAGATTACAGTCATGTGCCACCACACCCAGCTCCACTTTCATACTAATGACATGATTTTGTTCTTTATGGCTGAATAATACTATAGTAGGTTTGTATTACATTTTCTTTATCCACTTATCTGATAGGCATCTAGGCTGTTTTCACAGCTTATTATGAATTACATCTACAAATGGATAATTTTTCTCCTTTCCTATTTGTAAACATTTTCTTTCTTTCTCTTGCCAAAATACCCTGGCTAAACCAGGCGTGGTGGCACACGCCTGTAATCCCAGCACTCGGGAGGCTGAGGCAGGAGGATGGCTGTGAGTTCGAGACCAGCCTGGGCTACATAGTGAGCTCCAGGTCACTCTCAATTACATAGTGAGACCCTGTCTCAAAAAACAAAAAACAAAAACAAACAACAAAAAAACAAACAAAAACAATAATAATAATACCCTCGCTAAAGTTTCAAGTACTATACTGAACAGGAGTGGTGAGAGTAGAGCCTGGTCTCATTCCTGATTTGAGAAATAATGCTTTTTTTCTTCATCCAGTAGGACACTAGCTGGAGATCTGTAACATATCATTTTTATCAATTTGAAGAAAGACCTCCTATATTTTCTTCAGTTTTTAAACTGAAGGAAAATTAAATTTTGTCAAGGGCTTTTTCTGCATCTGTTGAGATGATCATGTGGTTTTAATCTCTGGTTCTGTTTATATGGCACACTATATTTACCAACCTAGATTTACTGACATTATATCTGAACGATCCTTGTATCCCTGTGGTGAAACCAACCTGGTCACAGGGTATGATCCTTTTAATGTGTGGCTGAATTTTGTTTGCAAGCATTCTATTAAGTTTTATACCTCTGTTCAACAAAGATAGTGCTTTGTACTTTTTTAGTTGAGTCCTTATTTGATTTTGGTATCAGGGTAACGCTGGCTTTGTACAAAGAATCTAGAAGCACTCCTTCTCTTTCTGTTTCTCTTTCTCAGTTTGAGAAGTGTTGATATTAGACCTTTCCTAAAAGTCTGATAAAATCCAGCAGTAAATCTATTGCATCTTGGACCTTTCTGACTTGGGATAGCAATTTCATTGCTTGTCATTGCTCTGTTTAGATTTTTTATATCTTCTTGGTTCATTTTGATAGGTCATATGTCATTTTAAAATGTTCTATTTCTGGGCTGGGGATTTAGCTCAGTGGTGACGTTGCCAGCCTCACAAGCACAATCCCCAGTACAAAAAAAAAAAAGTTCTATTTCTTCTACATTTTCTAATTTATTAACTATGTTTTTAAAAGTTTCTAATAATATGTTAGATTTCACAGTGGTGTCACAATTCACCTTTTCATCTCTAATTTTATTAATTTGAGTCTTTTTTCAGTAGGTTTCACAAAGGGTTTATCAAATTTACTTTTTCAAAGAACCAATTCTTGATTCACAGATCTGTACTGTTCTTTCAGTGTCTAACGAACTTCTGCTCGCATCTTTATTATAATGGCACTTTGGTTCACGAATTTAATTCTTTTCACAATTGTGGTTGCAAACCAAATTGGCTATAAACCAAATTAAATTCAATGGTTAGGTTCAATGTTGACCTTATGGCAAAAATGGATTTGGTTTGTGACCAGAACAGTGGAAAGAATTAAATTCATGAACTGAGGTACCACTGCATTTCTTTTCTTTGTCTGGAAGTGGGTTTGTTATTTTTCCAAAACCTTGAGATATATCAGTAGATTATTTGGGGTTTTTATATGTTTTCTCTTTTTGGGTATTGCTCATTGAACTCAGGACCTTCACGTTCAGATATACTCCCAGCAACCTTCCCCCAACTTCTTAATTTTTTGAGATAAGATCTTCCTAAATTGCCTAGGCTGGGATTATACCTATGATCCTCTTGCCTCAGTCTCTGAGAGTGCTGGGATTACAGATGTGTGCCAACATGCAGTTTAGCTAGTTCTGTGATGTTGACAATCATAGTTTAAAACTTCCTCTTAGAACTGTTTGTATTGTGGCCTAAAGATTCTGTCATGTTTCCATTATCATTTGATTGCAGGAATTTTTAAATTTCTTCCTTGATGCCTTCAATGACTCACTGTATTATTTACTCTGTTTGTGTAGTTTCTGTCATTACTTTTTTTTTAAGTACTAGGGATTAAATCCAGGGCCTATGCACTAAGATATATGCTAGTCCCTTTTTCTGAGACAGGGTCCCAATAAATCAGGCTAAGATCAAACTTGGGATCCCCCTACCTCAGCTTTTTGTTTTGTTTTGTTTTGTTGAGACAGAGTCTCACTATATAGTTCAGGCTGGCGTTGAACTTACTATATAGCCCAGGCAGGCCTCAGACTCATGACAATTCTCTTACCTTGGCCTCCCAAGTTCCACTAATCATAGCTTTATGCCACCACACCTGGCTTCTGTGACCTGATATGATTTCTACCTTCTGTGCATTGTGACCTGATATGCTGCATGAGATTATTTCAATTTATTTGTATTTATTAAGACTTGTTTTATGGCTCAAAATATAATTTACTTTGTAGAAAATTCTGTGGGCTGCTGAAAATATATTTTGCTGCTATTGGATGGAAAACTCTTAATAGACGGGTATCTATTAAGTCCATCTGATCTACACTGTATCTATAGTGTACTTGAAATGATTTGTGTGGCAGGGTGTGGTGGCACATGCCTGTAATCCCAGCACTCAGGACGCTGAGGCAGGAGGATCACTGCCTGGGCTACATAGTGAGTTCCAGGTCAGTCTCTACTACGTAGTGAGACCCCATCTCAAAAGCCCGCCCCCACCCTCCGTGCAAAAAGAAATGATTTTTGTCTAGTTCACCTATTTGTGAGAATAGGATATTGAAGTCACTTAGTACAATTGTGTGTTGGTCTACCAGATCTTTTATGTCAAGCAGTAGTGCTTTATGGGTATGCACATACCACTGTGGTGTGATGTCTTTGACTCTTGGGCTAGTACGTAGAAGGGGAATAGCTGGGTCAAATGGAATTTCTGTTTTTAGTTTTTTGAGGAATATCTATACTGACTTCCACAATGTTTGTACTAGCTAACATTCCTACCAACAATGTGCAAAGGGGCCTTTCCCCCTGTAGTCTCTCCAGTATTTGTTAGTTTCATTTTGATTTTTTTTTTTTTTTTTGGATGATGGACATTCTTTGTGGACTAAGAATCTCAATGTTGTTTTAATTTGTATTTCTCTAATGACCAGAGATATTAAACATTTTTTCATGTATTGCCATTTGTACTTCTTCTGAGAAATGTCTTCATTTTAGTTGCCCATTTTTTGACGGGGTCTTTTATTTGGGGGAAATCTGATTTTTAAAAATTTTAGATGTATCACTTCTCAGCCTTTTGGCTAAGATCAAGTGTAAAATTTTAGATGTTAGCCCTGTCAGAGAAGTAACTAGCAAAAAACTTTTCCCATTCTGTAGGTTGTCTCTTCACTTTATTGTTTCCTTTGCTGTATAGGAGCTTTTTAATTTGATATAAACCCAATTATTGATTCTTTCCTTTTTGTTTTTTTTATCAAGGATCAAACTCAGGGCCATGCATTTGCAAGGCAGGCACACTGCCACTGAGCTAAATCCCTGGTCCCCAATTGTTGATTCCTGATGTTATTTCTTATACAAGTGAGATTCTGTTTATAAAGTTATTTCCTATGCCTATGTCTTTAAGAGATTTATGTATTTTATCTTCCAGCATAGTAAATGTTTTGATTTTAATATTTATAATTTTATCCATTTTGATTTTCTTTTGGTACATGGTGACAGGGGTTTAGATTGAATCGTTTGCATGTGTGTAACCAGTTTTTCCAGCACTAATTATTAAAGAGACTGTCTTCCCTCCAGCATAAGCTTCTGTCTCCTTTGTCAAAGATCAGATGACTTCATGTGCCTGGGGTTGCTTCTTGATCCTATTCTGTTCCACTAATCGAAATGTCTGTTTTTGTATCAGTACCATGTTGTTTTTTATCACTGTAGCTTCATAATACATCTTGAAATCTAGAATTGAAATGCCTCTTTGTTTTTATTGATCAGGAATATTTGTGCTATTCTGGGTCTCTTTTGGTTCCATATAAATTCTAAGATAGTTTTTTCTAGTTCTGTGAGGAATGCTACTGATATTTTGATGGGATTGCATTAATCTATCCTTCTGACTAATTTGAGTTTGAAGTCTTTCTGGAATATAAATATAGCTAATCCTGCTTGCTTTCAGACTCTAGCTGCTTGGACTATCACTTTTTATTCTTTCACTTTCAATCTAAGTTGTGTATCGGTAGATAAAGTATGTTTTTTGGAAGTAAATCTTGTTTTTTGATACAAACTACCAGTCTGTGAATTTTACTTAAAGAATTGTACCCTCTTTGTTAAGTGTTTTTTATAAAAATGTATGTACTAATTTCTGTCATTTTGTTGTTTTTCTAGTGTTTGATTCATTCCTGGTTTTCATTTGTTCATACGTGCTTTATCCTTTCTCTTGGTCGCTTGGTTGTGACTATACTCTTAAAACATTTATTCTTATATGCACACCCATGTTTATAGCAGCACATTTCTAATAGCTAAAGCTTAGAAACAGCCAATTGCCCGTAACTGGATAATGGATACAGAAGATGCGGTTTGTTTGTTTTTTTTTAATAAAATGGAGTACTACTTAGCCATAAAGAATGAGAAACTAGAGACACTTATAGCTAAATGGATGCACACTGAGGACATACTCTTAAGTGAAATAAATAGGACACACATGTGTAAATACCAAATAGTTTCTCTGGTATAAGAAACTGTAAGTGTAAATAAGGATTAAAATAAGTAACTGATAACATGAAATAGGAAGAAATGGTCCAAAGGGGTAGGGAAAGTGGGAAGGGGAGGGGAAAGGAAAGAAGAGAAAGGAAAAAACATTAGATAAGAAATAAATGGAAACAAAAGCCTTTGCAAATAGGGAGGGGTGGAGGGGTTGAAGGGAAGGCAGAGAAAGGGGAAAAAATAAGAACCAAGATACATCATGTAAAGGTACAAGTTCCCAATGATGAATGTAAATGTATTGTACATCTAAAATGTACCAATAAAAGAATTTAAGAGAAAACAAAACAAAAAAACATATCCCATTTATTATTTTAAATAATTTTAGGGAGAAGTGACATTGAATGCCTGTTATATATTCTAGTAAATGTTTGTTATGCATTATAACTTTGCACTCAAATCCACTTAAAAATAGTCAGAAACAGATATTCAGAGATTCTTGCATATTTAAGGCCATAGAAAGTTTATAGGTGAAAGTAGTTAATATACCTTATGTAATTCATCATAAACAAGCTGATGGGCAAATCTTGGACATGGTTCTTCCTCTTGTAGACTTTTACTTGGATTATCTTTTGCAGCTTGATCATTCTTATAGACACAAGACCTATAAGACAGTGCTTTTAATTGTCAATTTCCAATTATCAACAGAGAAGATTATACGTTTTGTTCATATCAAAGATTAAGTCCTGGTAATGCTCATAAAATAACTTAATTTGGTACACCTCAGTTCTCAAGTTCTTTTGATAGTTATCAACTAGCTCCCTTTAAAAACTCTGTAAAACACAAACACCACACAGGCTCAAATTGAAGGTTAAAGAGATGCTATTTTGTTTATTCACAACAAACTGATAGTACAGTGCTTTGAACATAAGTAAATGTCATTTATAGAAAAAATTAAATTCCTTAACTGTTGAGCACTACACTCCTTTACTGAATGGAATATGTTCTTGGATGTGTTTCTGTTCCTTAAAAATATTCACTTAGGCAGCTATCACAAAATGTGAGACCTGGATCCTAGGCCAGTGTTTACTAAAGCAAATCATGCAGTAATAGTTCTGTGAGATACTCTGAGAGAAAGGGTCCTAGTTTGGAAACACTAAGTAATAATGCCCCCAATCTGGCCTAGATACACCTTTTCATAAAAACCAAGATCTGGGACATTTTTAAAAAAAGCATTGTTTTCTTGTCCATATATCTACTTTGTAGCAATATATATGACTCCCTGACTGAGAGTTAAAGGTAAAATTCCATTTAGTCAACATCACTTTATATACAGGTATCGATTCTGCCTATACTTATTTTTTTAATATTGATTTATTTTAATATTGACCTTCAAATGTACAATGTAACAATTAATGAAAGCCTTCCATTTCTCTCATCTTTTGAATAAACAACCTCACATAAATATTACATTGGGATTGCCACACAGACAAGAGTTCCTTACCAACTATTCCTCACAATGTCATAAATCCAGAATGAATTTCTGACATTCTCTTCTCTCTTTTCCTTGTCTTTGCTGAGCCCAGATAAGACATGTATTTCATTTAGTTCTGGATCGATAGTTGCTCTCTGTGTGAATCCTGTCATTGGAACTATAGATAGAAGGAAAAAAATAAAGATTACAATCTTAACATTAGACAGCAGATTAGTACTAACTCTTTAAGATTATACATCTTCATCCTGTTCTACGTGTACAACTCAAAACGTAACTTGTTTTATTAAACAAACAATTGTTTATTGTCTTCTAAACTCCAACTATATAAGATAAAAGAAAAAAGATAACTGATGGAAGGTACTAAGGGAGGGGTAATAGGGGGAATAGCTGTGATGTTTTATGCATGCATGAAATACCACATTGAAACTCAGTATTTGTAAAATTAAGAGACATTAATAAAATGTATTTTTTTAAAGAGAAAGTAAGCTCCACAAAAGCAGAGGTTGTTTTGTTCATTATTTTCACCCCAGTGTCTAGAATAGTGTCTGGCACATAATAATCATTCAACTATTTCTTGAATGAATAAATGAACATAACTACCAGAATGGAGTTACAGAGAGCCAAGACATGTGCAATGTATTCTTCACCACCATTTTCATACTGGCGTCACTACCTCAAATTATCTCATTAATCCTTACACATTACAAAAATTCTTTAGGGTGTGTAAGAAATGGTTTATTGTGTTCTTTTTAAAGGTATAATATCAAAGTTTTAAAAATAGTTTTCTAACACTATCCCATTTGTAAGACATAAATAATTTATAAGTTAAAAGTATCAGTTTGGAGTTACCTTACTTACAACATAGAAATCAGATCTGCATGTTCAACAGGTTTTGGAGGCCAGCTTCATAACTTAAATACTAATTAGTACTACAGACAAAAGGAAATTAAAGTAGAATATCTTTTTTTGGTCTAAATTTCTCAATTAACTATGTGATTTCACACAAGAGTAATTTTTGGGTCTCAGTTTTCCATCTAAAAACTCAAAGTCCTCATAGGTAGTTTACAGTCACTTGACGATGGAAATTTCTGTTGAGAGAAGATTGGGAAGAGTGATAGGATGAAAGCTCTTAGTAATAATACACATGGATAGGCAAAGTAGGTGGCTGCTGAGACACAGAAATCAAGCAAGAGGCTGTTATGATTAAAATAAGAGTGGAATGGAAGCAGGCAGTAAACAAGTATCAGTAAATAGTCCAAATGGATAAAATAAGCAAGAAAAGTAGGTATTCCTGAATAGTTTCTCTGGTGTGAAAAACTAAAAGTATAAATAAGGCTTAAATGGTATAACTGATAATGTGAAATAAGAAAAAATCTAAAGGAGAAAGGGAAGCGGGAAGGGTAGGGAAAAGGAAATGAGGGAAAAGAAAAATATGAGAAAAGAAAAAAATGGAAACAAAGCCTTTGTAAACAGGGAAGGGTGAAGGGGGTGAAGGAAGTACAGGGGAATGGGGAAAAAATAAGAACCAAGATACATCATGTAAAGGTACAAGATCCCAATGATGTAATGTAACTGTATTGTTTACTTTAAAGGTAACAATAAACTTAATGGAAAGAAAAGTAGATAGATACTCAAGCCCAGCCAGGACTACACAGCAA